CACACACACACACACACACACACACACACACACACACACACCCCTCCTTTATGTCAATATTGGGTCAGAGAAACGCACCGTGCAACAGGTGTCTGCGCGCCCGGAGGATCCACGACAAGGGGGCGTGGGGGGAGGAGAGAGAGGAGAGAGAGAGAGGGGAGGAAGTGGGGGTGGAGGGAGGGGGAGCGGAGGTATAAAGGTGACTACCTGTCCTGAAGCAGAGCACATCCAGTCCGTGTGAAAGGTGAGGACCAGGGTCGCGCATGACGTTTTTGTCTTAATTCTTGACTTCTAAAAAAGAAAAAATAAATAAAAAAGGTAAATTTATACATCATTTATTCATCCATGAAGTTTTCTCAGTGTTTTAACGTTGTCTTTATTGTTTTCTGACTCTTTTCCTCCCTCCCCCCAGTCCTAAAGCAGGATGTGAAGACAGGAGACTGCTGTTTGGAGCAGCATCATCTCCATTTTTTTGGTGACTTTTCCCCCCACATTTTGTCCGTATTTGCTTCACGTTGAGCCTCACGCACAATACCTGAAGATGAAGTTTTGTTCGTTCGGCTCGCGTTAGGCAGGTACGGGTTGGCAGCTGGGAAAAGCACAGTTTTTCTTCTTCTTTTATTTTATTTTTTTATTTTTTTCTTCCTGAGTTTAATCAGGCTCCTGAAGAAGATGATTGTGAAAGGAGCACAGAGGAGCATTATGCAAAGCATTGAAATAAAAAAAGGCAGTTTGGTCAGGTTCATTTCTGATTATGAGATAATAATAAYGATAAGACATTTAGTAACTGACACCAGGTGTTCTGAACAGGTAAACTTTCTCATTTGCATACAGCTGGCAGCAGATAAAGCCCTGCAGGAACAACTCATTTTTTTCATCCTTTGAAGACTTTTCTTGTGTTTAGATTCTGAAATCCACACGTCAAAAGAGTTGCATTTGTAYCCAAAGTGTTCTGTAGATTTTATGAAAAAGAAAAATTTAAAAAAGTGCCAAAGCTCCTGCAAGTTTTTAGGCTTTACAGGTAAGAGTTATGGCAAAAAAGTTCAAGCGGTCTGCTGAGTTTAATTAGTTGCGCCTGATCTGCTGCAAGGCCTGACATTTACCAGAGCAGGGGTGATAATCTCTTTATCTCCCTTTGGTGCTCTTTGGACAGTCTTTTTTTTAAAAAACCCCCATTGGCACATTCATGATGACTACAAGTCTTTTTCCATTGAGTGTGTGTGTGTTAGGTAGGTGGGGGTAAGGGGGGAGGGGGTCTTGTTCATCACTAACCATCCTCTGCGTCACGACCTCAGGCAGAGTGCAGAGAGATGGGCTCATTGGGAGGTTATGTTAATCATTAAACAAACATTAACCACACACAGATCTGGTACACACCATCTGTCACCTGGATGCTATGAAGTATTCAATCAGCATTTGCTCCTCGTTTCTGCCACTAAATATTACAGGTTTAAATAGAAATGCAGGTGAGGTCAGTGGTGTTAGTGGTTTGAGGATAAAGTCATTTTATGAATGTGTTTTTGTCGCAAAAAGTAGCTCAAACTTATCAGGTCTTTAGGTGATACGTTGCATCATATGAGTTTTGATAAACATAATAAAATACATCCATTTTGTTGATGATTRAAGTGAATTTGAACGTCTAAATAAAAGTTATTTTTACTGTATTTGTCTTTGCAGCTTTTGCTTGTCTTTGTGCATAAAGTGGAACATTAATGTGCAAACTTTTCCATAAAAGTTGTTTTTTTTATTTAAGATTAGATTATTTGTTTACCATTATGTGCCTTTTAGATCCCCATCACTCTTCATTATGTCCAAAAGAACACATCACGAGGAAGTCCTGACCTGCACTTTTTTTTAAAACCTGAGAGCTTATTTGCCTCTGCTTGAATCTCCAGTCAATATTTGTTTAAAGYCCGTGGATGGTGAGCTCCAACACTCCTCAGTATCCTGGTTACCTTGCTTTCAAACGACTGTCCTAACTGGTCCTGCTGTTGCTGCACCTGCCCTTCCAGCTCCTGCAGCTGCAGTAATGGATCAGCATTTCTCCTTTCAAAGCAAATGTGAATGCTGGGGACATGCAGTCATCTGTATCAAAACACAAAAAAAGTCTAATTTATTGCACCAGTTCTTGCATATAGATCACCTGCTGCCTTTCATATAAAAAATTAATCTAAAACCTTATTTTCTGAGTTTTTTTTTTTTTGTCAAACTTTGCAAACGACATTTTGCTCATAATATTGTAAGACTTCATGAAATGAGCTGAGTATGTGTTGGAGATGAAACTTATTTACAACCACTCCTAATTTAACCCAGCATTCACTATCTTTTAGCTAGGTTTGTCTTTTTTGTAGCCAGCTGACTTTGGCAGCCATCTTGGATTGGACTCCAAAAGCTTTGTGAGCGTTTCAATGAAATGTGTTTACTGGTGCATCAAATATTTTGAAACCTCTTCAACCCCAACGGGTTTTCTTGATGATTCTGCTCAAAATACCACGCCAAAAAATGTTATTAAGTGTTTCTCAGCATTTACAAACACTACTCAAATTATCTTGGTGTCGAAATAAAGCTAACA